TCCTCCTTTGTGTCCCTCGCTGTCCCCCCCCACCCCCCCCCCAGCGCATGAAGGTAAGAGCTCCTCCAGGCAGGCTCTCTCTGCACCTCCCCACACCTCCTCCCCTCCGTTGTACTTAGCTTTCTGGGCAATCTCACCGACTCTCTGGGCTTTAACTCCCACCTCTATGCAGATGATTCTTAAAGCTGCGTCTGCCGAGTGCCAACAGCCTAAACGAGGCATCTCCACCAAACGTCCTTGCCACTCTTCTCTGTGTTTAACTTGTACAGATGGCGTACAAGAGTGTTGAGTTTGAAGTACAGCAGGATCTCAGCATTTAGCTGGAGATGCAGGACCAGATCTCAAGAAGAGACTGACTTCTTTTGAATAGAGGTCCCATATGAAGGAATTCAATTACCACAGCAGAGGACAGAGAAAACAGAAAAGATGGCATAGGACAAGGATTGGGAACACCCATACCTGGACAGTAGGAAGGACTCAATGAACCAAGAAATGAGAGTAAGGAATGAGCAGACAGCCAAGAGGACAGGCTAGGGGTACTCTGGATCATATGAAAGAAAACAGGATCCAAGAGAAAGGCATGGTCACAGGTGTCAAATGGGATCAGAAAAGGTGGTGGATGAGGACTGAAAAAAGCCAATGATGAGAAGTAAAGTGGTGACACCGGTGACCTTTTCGACAGTGGCCCAGGATAGAAGCCAGATTTCAAGGGGTTAAGGCTCTAGAAGTAGAAAGGCCTTAGTGAACATCTGGTCCAATCTCCTTCTTACAGATGAGAAAATTGAGGCTCACAGAGGTGGCATGACTTGGTCAAGGTAATTACGTGGGTTCTAAGGATGGAGAGGCTCACCTTTCTAGGTGTACTCCATCAGGAGAAAGTTGGATCATATACAGGTTGACACAAAAACAGGGCAACCACACTCTTTCCCAAACCATCCCTCTGGTGACATTATCAAAGACAAAACACTGGGATGGGAAGACCACCGGCTTGACCCAATATAGTATCATCTTCTATTGACCCAATACGACATCTCAACATTTCTTCTAGTCACTTGTTCACTTAGAAAGCTGCAAAGGGACATACTGAATTCAATGAGAGTAAACAATAGCAGTAATAAAGGACAAGCCTATCCAATTTTTCAAATTGTTCCTGAGATCCACGCCCTAGAAGCAAAAGCTCTGATTAAAAAGCAAAAGAGGCAAGGCAGAATGCTGATATCCCAAAGCAGCCTCTGATGGGGCCAGTGCTCGTAGGAAGCTTATCCGGCCACGACTGTTTTTATAAACTATTAGCCATCATACATAAAAGACAAGCAACCACAAATCTCCAAAATATTGTAAAAAAAAAAAAAAAGTTTACTCTCTGATCTGCTCTTCTCCCCTTCACAATGACTAGCTGGCCCCTTGAGGGTAATTTCACTTTGGGGCTGATTAAAGGATCGGGGAGTTCTGGCCCAGAAATGGGGCATCATCAGAAGCCCCACCCTGGAGGCTCCCTTTCCCCCTCTCCCATTCCTCTCCATACTTGCCATTTAGGAATAGTCTTCCCCCTTCAGAACGGAAGTTCTAGTGGTGAATGCTAACTAGTACAAGCAGTCAGCCATCAGTATCTGCCACTGTCTGCTCCCCACTCCCACTAACCAAAAGGACTGCCCAAGTGTGCAGAACACTAGACACAGACACGCTCACTCACACAGGGCTTCAGTTGCTGCATTTAATATGAAGATCTTATTTCTCTTATGTTCTTTTATGAGGCACCTCAGATCTTTCCACTTTGGCCGCTATGATGGTAAATGCCTTAGTGGTAACCAGGACTCATGTATGCCTTTCCACTCTACACAATGAAGCCTGAAACCTCTTTCCAAATGGTTCACACCTCCCGGTTGCTGTGTGTTGACAAGGTTTTCCCCTCTGGTTGTCCAAATCAGCTCAGGGCCTTTGTCTCCGTTGCCCGGTTTTTACAATTATTTACTCAGCTATCCAAGCCCGATGGGGTTCAGCAAGCCAGGCTCAATGGTGTCATCCATCTTCCTATCACTCTGCTATTGGGAATAACAAAACAACAACCACCATTCCCCATCCCCATCCCCGCCACTGCTCTACACACTCATACCCTAAAAATACCCAACTCTGGAGAAGCAAATGTTTTCCAGGAGTCTAGAAGAATAGAAAACTTGAAAAAAGTAAGTATGACTGCCCACATTCTACAGCGGGTGCTTTCAATCACCTTCTCTACAGCCCTAAAATCTTTCCAAATGATTTTTTTCAGTGGTGAATGGCAGGCACCTTGCTTTTCAAAATGTTTTTTCAGGTATGTCTGTTTGTTTACCAAATAATCCAACGTTCCAGACACAAGCAACTTGTCAAGCAGATCGTTCTGAATGTTTTTTAAACAAAAGTCAATTTCATAATGTTTGTCCTCCTGCCTGAAACAGAAATTAGGCTGACATTCCACAAAGTGAGCTAGATTTGGAAAAACCATCCTGGCTAAAAGCCAGGAAATAACAACACGAACATCATAACTGACATTTATCTAGGATTTTAAAAGCTTCCCGTCATTTTCCACACATCATTTTATTTGAGTTGCCAAACAATCTTGTATGTATGGTAGGTAACCTAGCCATTGCTCTCCCCAGTGTACAAAGAGGAAACAAGTTCAGAGATGGCAGGGTCAAACAGCTACACCCCCCACCTCCCCCCCCAAATTTTATGCAACCACCAACATATTATTAACAACACTGGAGAAAAGACTGCGACCTTCATGAAGCAACTTTAGAACAAGCTTTGTGGTTTTTTTCTGTATGGTCCACACGAGAAACACTTCTCTTATCTAAACACCCCCTAACTACTACGCACCCCCCAACACTCACTTTACTCCTGGCAGGGTACAAGTGACAGCATCAGTGCTAATCAATTTTATTCAGATCATCAGAAATGAGAAGGAGAATGGACGTGAAAACAGAGTTTTTCAAAGTCGGTAATTCAGTCATAAGTAAAACCGGTCAGGGTAAGACTGTTGTTCCCTGATTCTACTCCTTCTGTCCAAATCCAGGGAAGGGAGAGGTTTAGTCTAAGGAACTCAACCCCTTGGGATGTCTAATTAGAAAAGTGGTCCAACGTTCAAAGAACATCTCGACTAAGCCTAAAGAACGTCTACGCCAATAGTCTTCCACCCAGGAGCAGGCCACTGTGTGCCCTGTCTCAAGGGCACCTGGTTAATTCTTCCATGCCAATACAAGTTACTTTTGAAGAGGCTTTTTCTAAAACTCCAGTGGCCTGACCTCGACACCTGTCTGGTTTCCTGAAGCCAGACAGGCAGGCAGGCAGAGATGGGAAGCTCCACTCCTCACACACGGCTTCACTTTCGAGGAATAAGGACTCGTGCGCAGAGGCTGGCTGGCCGCCAAGACCCCGCCGCCTCCTGAACTCCCCCCTCCCCCTTCCACTGCTGTCAGGGATCCCTCTTTCATGCTGACTCAACATGGCACTCTGCCAACCACTTGGTAATGGAGGGTCTGCTAGCAATTCACAAGCATGGAGTGCTAAATCACATTTAAATCAACTGGGAAGGTCTGGCTTTGCGGCCAAGGTGCTGTTGTGGGAGCTGAGACTCCTTGGCCCTGGTCCCAGTTCTGCTACTGAATCACTTAGTGATTTGAGGGCTGGCCTCTCTGCACCTCAGCTCCTTCCTTATTTCACTGACATGGTGTGCGGGGGAAAGTGAGGAAATTCTGGCCCAGCAGGTGCTGTGTTAAGAATGCTGGCTCTGGACTTCTCAGTCCTAGGTGTGAATCTCCACTTTGCCGTTACAAGCTGTGTAACCTTGGATTGGTCCCATCACTTCTCCAGGCCCCCACTTCACCACCTGAAAAATGAGGGTGATGGACTAGAAGACCCCCAGCTCTATTATCCTACAGACGAGGACAGAAATGTTGGGTCAGAAAAGTAAGTCAGCTCCAAGTCTAGAACAGCTTGTGATTCACGGATCCAACTTTATGAAACCTTCTGCTCCATCCCTGCGCCCGCACAAAGACATGTCCTTCCCTATTAATATAAAAACATCAACATGTGACTTAATCTGACATGGCCATTGTGGTACAGCAGAAAGAGCCAGGGCTCTGGAATCAAGGGACCTGGGTTCCAATCCTGCCTCTGATTCCTACTATGTGACCTCAGGCAAGTCATTTAGCCTCCATTGGCTCAGTTTCCCCATCTGTAAAGTAAATAAAACAGGTGGACTAGATGATTGCTGAGGTTCCTTCCAGCTCTGAGTTTGCTTCGAGAAGTACGCATAAAAAAAAAATACAGCAGAACAAGGAAACCTGGCTAATGTTACTAGTTTCATGGTGGAATCCATTGTTAGAGATCGCTATGGGGGCACAGTGGGTAGAGCACTGGGCCTAGAGTCAGAAAGACCCAACTTCAAATCCACCTCAGACACGTACTACCTGTGACCCTGGGCAAAGTCATTTAACCTCTGTCTGCCTCAGTTTCCTCAACTGTAAAATGGGAATGATAATAATGGTGCCTACCTCTAAGGGCTGTCGTGAGGATCCGATGAGATAGTACTTGTAAATTGCTTAGCACAATGCCTGGCACATTGAAGGCCCTAGACAAATGCTTATGCCATTCCCCTCTCCCTTAAGCACTAACAAGTTACTTAACTTGCAAGAACGTATCATTATCCCCTTTTAGGTGGGAAAAGAGAAGCCACAAGGGAAGTACGTGGCAGACATGGGATTCGAATTTATAGCCCCCATACTTCCAGGCTTTTGTTCACTAAGGCAGAGAAGGAATGGCAGGCATTGCTGCTTCTGACTTTCAAGAGACACTAAAGGTTTGGTTTTTCTTGCTTTTTCAAAGGGGCAGGCAGGAGAGAGAGAAGCTGGACCTGAAAACAAGGCTGAATTTAAGAAATTAAAAAGGAGCTCCCTACTCAATCTATGTCAGGCCCCTTTCAATAAAGGCACATAGACAGCATCACCAGAACAGACACTGACCTGCTTAAGTCGCTCCTCCAGGTTCCAGTTTGGATGGCCAGATGCTGAGACTGAAGGGGGGGCTTTCAAAGCATCTTTGGCATGGTCCTCTTGGATATGCAGCCCCCTTGGCAGCCCTGGTGCTGGAAGAGGAGGAGGATTTGACATGGGGGTAGCTCTGGGGTCATGACGAGTCATCTTCTGCATGTGGAAATACTTGGAAGAACGCTGGGCTTCCTGCTCAGTGATCTCTGCATCTTCTCCATCCCCTTCCTCGTCTTCATCAGCTTCTGAGTTTGTGACCTGAGAAGCTGCCGCTGCTGGTGGAATTCTGGCCATCGGCCCCACAGCAGGACTCCCGGAAGCCTTGGTAGATGGGGAGGTGAGACTGACCTGCTGGGCTGCCAGCTGCTGGGCGCACAACAGCTGGGCTTCTCTCATCTGCCGATCCTGCCTTTCCCGGGAATCCATCTGTGGGGGAGCTGGCTGCCGCTGCTGCTGCTTCTGCAGCTGCTGCTTCTGCAGCTGCTCCATCAGAGCCTCCAGCCTCATCTGCCTGTTGGCATGGCTGGGAAGGTGGGCCCTGCCAAGGAGGCACACAGGATCCACGCTGGATCCTTCAGGTCCCAACGACGGCTACAAAGGAAAAACAGTCATATAAAACATGGACCAACAGGCTTTCCTTTACAGCTCTTCTCCGGCAAAGGGCCATGAAAACCCAAGCCTGATCTGGTATCCGAACTCACACTAAATGTAAACGCAGACTTTCAGTTTCTTATGCTGAGCTTTCAGATTATGCCAGTAATTGGTGGGGAGCATGGGTGACAGGGAAGCGCGGTTGTTCTCTTCTAAACATTTAAAAATAAATAAATCTAGAAAGGGTCCATTCTCTTAATGTCTGGTTCTGATTGTTTTCCCTTTAACATTTCCAGATAGTAATATTTTTTTTAAATGGCAGGAATGCACCTAGATCTGTATTATACAAAGTCTGTGACTCTTAAAACCAGAATCATAAAGGCAAGAGTGGGTCAGACTGAAGAAGAGAGAATTGAAAGAACCCTAGGAATGTCTCAGCCAAGTTGGACATATATAGATAGGAAGCAGAGAGAATTCCACTCCCCCCCCCCCTCTCCCCCCCCCTTGGAAGGAAAAGAAAGCCAAGCAAGCTGCTCTTTGGGGTTAAGCCACAATCCGATGGCCTGCATGTTCAGTGGACTGAGCAATGTTAAGTGGACACTAAGTCCTTAAAAAGAATCCGATTTCAACAGCATGAAAGGAACATGCAGGAGCTTCAAATTGCAATTATCATTCAAAACAAACGAGACGAAATTCCTCTGGAGAGTGTAAAGTTAATTAATCTGAAGTAAATATCAATATTGGCTATAAAGAGCATGAGCTAATTTTTCCTCTTTTTTCATAACTGCTACTCCTCACCACATTCCCTCTCTTTGAGAATCAAGATGACCGTTCTGATGCTGCAGGACCAGCACAAAAATGAAGGGCCTTTTCAGGAAAGAGGCCTTCTGGGGCAGGTTTAACAGCATTCTTCCTCTTACAAATCATTCTTCAAACACACACCCCCTTTCACGCCCTCCATTCCCCAAGCCAAGCCCCACAATAAACACCGTATAGGTTACAGAGGTGATACACAAAAGCTCATGCGCCTCAGATCAAATAATGCTTCACCTAAGCCTTGGTAAGTGAGTAGACCATATAAATGTGCATTTCAGGCAAATGAAAGTTACCATTATGGCATACCCTTGCTTCCACATGTATGTTAGCACAGGACAGGTTGTGACTTGATATGTGCTAATGTTTGAGGGCTGGACAGGCGAATAAAAGTCTTTAGCATCGCCAAAAACCTTGGGAAGAAAGTCAACCCTCACGGTGAAGCCTGCTTGGACACTGAACATTCTTCATGGATTAGAGTGAAAAAGGGGGATGTTTAAAGCTAAGCAAAAGATTAGAGATGGATTAAGAATCCTCATTTTCTCTGTTTATTTTACGAATAGTGCCTTTGCTTCTTACATTCTAGGGAACATTTAAATTCCAAGTGGCTTCTCATTGTCGTCATTGCCTTACGTTACTTAAAGAGAAGGAAATACAATCATTTTCATTTTATTTCTCACTTTAAAAAAAATAATGACAGGCTTTCTATTCCCATCAGAATCTGGGAGACAAAAAGGATTTAAGATATTTAAAGCCCAGTAATGAAGTAACTTCAACAAAAAGGGGGGGGGGGGAATATGGGATTGGAGTGCTTCAAATTTCCTTTTAATATCAGCAGAAAATGACAAGTGAATTGTCCATGCAGCAAGTGCCCTCATTTGCCACCCAATTATTCCTTCTTACTAAGGATTTAGCAACTACTACCTTGCAGAATGGGACCATGGATGGGGACTCCACATGACAAAAAATGTAGTTGCCTTGTGATGCCTGAAGGCTTTACCAGCCCTCACACTGAAAACAACCAGTCTGGCCAGAAAAACAGTATCGATTGTATTTAGGGAAATTATTCTACTCTAAAAACAAAAAAAAAAAAACTCTCTTCATACATTCCTATTATCACCAAATACCCCCATTTTCACATAATCTCCCCTTACCCCTAACTTCTACCCTATACACACTAATTTCTGACTCTGATCTTTTTACTCCATTCTTTATTTAGCCTGATTTCCCCAACCCATCCCTCCACACTCCCCCCCCCACACACACCAGACACCCTCCCTGTCCTTCCTAGTCAGGCCCTTCCCACCCTTTGTAACTCTAACTCCTCCCCACTACCACCCCTATTTATATCTCCCCTACATCCTACTACCCAATTCCACCTGTAGCCTCTTACTCCCTTATCTCCTCAAACCCACAATCTTGGAAGGCCCCATCTTAGGCCACTTTCTGTTCTCTCTCTGCCCAGCCCTTGGAGGGCCTCTGGAAACCCCCCTCTCACATCTTGCCCATCTCTTCCAGCCCTCCTCTATTTTAATACCCTCACCCCATCTTAACTCTGACCTCAGGACCCCTGTGGTTCCTGTACCTATGCCTCTGACTCCCTCAGCCCTACCTTTACTCCACTGTGATTCCGCACATTTAACACCTCTCATTCCCCTACCTTTAACCCTACATCTCCCCATCTTCCCCCTCATAGTTAAAGCTAAACCCTCCCCACTTTCTCTCCTCCTCTTCCTGCCTTCCTCTGTCAGTCCTAATGCTCATACAATATACCTGCCCGCCCCCACCCCACACCAACCTTTAATCCAGAGGTTCTAAAACTTTTTGGTCTTAGGACCCCTTACATTCTTAAAAATTATTGAGCATCCCCTCCAAAGATCTACTGTTCATGTGGATTACATCAACAGATATTCACTGTATTAAAAATTAAAATGTTTCAGTGGAAACAGTTTTGACCTGGAAGACTTGTCTCTGAGACCACACTTCAAGGAGGCTTTAACCTATCTTAACCCTCCTCATTTACTCACCTAACCCCCCCCACCACCACCACAAAGCTCTCACAGCTTGCCTCCCCCTTTAACCCCTCAGAATCCTTCTCCATTTACTCTCCTTATCCCCTCATCTTCCCCCTCATCCCTAAGGCAATTACAATTTACATCCCCCCCCACCCCCCCCCCCTTAACCCGCCCCCGCCACCCCTGGGTTATCCCTCTTCCCGGCCCCCCCACACCCCCCCATATTCTCAAGACTTATCCTCCACCCCGCTTTTACCAGTCTCGGTTTCCTTCAGTAACTCTCCCTACGCTCCCCCTTCTCACCTAAAGGTCTCTCGATTTACATCTCACCCCTCCAGCCTGCCTCAGCTCCCCTCCCCATTGGCTCCTCTTGTCCCCTTCTTCCAGGCTCTCCCATCTCGCCCCCTCCCCACTGACTTCTTTTGTCCCCCTCCCGTCTCGCCCCCTCCCCATTGACTCCTCTCCTCCCCCTCCCATCTCGCCCCCTCCCCACTCACTTCTTTTGTCCCCCTCTCAACTCGCCCCCTCCCCATTGACTCCTCTCCTCCCCTTCCCATCTCGCCCCCTCCCCACTGACTTCTTTTGTCCCCCTCCC